AGCAGGTGACTCTATTCCCAACCTAGGTACCAGCACAGACAATGTCTTGGGTCATGATCTTTCTCTCTTTTTTTACATCTTTCCTTCTGTCTCAGGTTCTGCTTCTTTTTTTTCTCTCCTTTCTCACTTGGTTCCTTGCTTTCTTGCCTTCTTCTATTTCACGAGGGAAGTTAGATTAGGTGAGATGTACCTGATTTGTCTGCAAGAAATAACATATTGAGAATGTTTTTAGGTCTATCATTCCATCCACGATGGGGCAAGTAATTATTTTCCCACTTGATGAACTATTCTAATGTGAATTCTTCCTTCTACTGCTGTCGGGTAGGAAATAGAAATGAATTCCGTTCTCTATGAATCCTACCCTAGCATGCATCTCCTACGGGAGCTGATTACTTGGTTGACTTGTAACCCTGTAGGTTAATTTGGGCTGTTTTCAGTCTTTGGTTCAAAAGAACAGTAATGTTGGATGCCTTTCGGTTATGAGTGTGAGACTCATCAGCACAGTCATGTGTAGCACACTCATTCTAAGTGTTATACAATTTCCACTGAATGAAATTAACACCATGTACTTGATTGTTCTCCAGATGGTCATGCAGCTTGTTTGCAGACTGCAATTTACTCAAACTCATGCTGCTATGTTTTTGCACTGAGCCTGTGGCTGTAAACATTTATGGTGGATACACAAACAGGTCTAGGGTTATTCATACAATTCCCACATGGAAAGATTTCTTCTGTTATTAGTACAGTCTCATCCATTTTTCTCTACATTTTTTCCCTTAGATATTTTATTATGTACACATGCTGTATGTTAAAATTTAAAGCTTAAATTTTTACTGCTTGGGGAATATGGACAGTGATTCATATTTTGTATGTTTTTTAAATATCTGTATTTCTTGGTTATTTCTAATAGTGTATGTTAGATTTTGGGGGGAGATGGACAAATTTTCGTGTCATGAACAATGATACTTCTTTTCTTCATTTCAGCATAGTCTTTCTATTGTGTATTTTCCTTGCCTTGGTGGGCTCTCTGATCTGCTGGTAGTATACTGGCATCAGATGGGTATTTTTTGTAGAATCTCAGTATAGGAGGGAGAACTCTTTGCATTTCCCCGTTATATGTAGTCCTCCTTGTCCTTTCTATAGATTCTTTTCATAAGAGCATGACATTCACATGTGTCTGAATAAATTCTCTGGACAGAATCCAGTTTACAGAAATCAAGTGACCTTTTCTAATGGCATTAAAAACCACCAATTCTAAAATTAAGAATCAATAAATGGGATGGATTCAAACTAAAATGTTCTTTTCAGCAAAGGAAACAATCAATAACATGAAGAGAGAGCCTACAGAATGGGAGAAATTCTTTACTACGCACATCTCAGATAGAGCACCAACCTCCAGGATATATAAAGAATTCAGAAAACTTAACATCAAAAACCTCCCAAATAACCCAATCAATAAATGGGCCAAGGAACTGAATAGACACTTCACAAAAGAAGAAATATAATTGATTAACAAACATGAAAAAATGTTCACCATCTCTAGCAATTAGAGAAATGCAAATCAAAACCTCTCTAAGATTTCATCTCACTCCAGTCAGAATGGCAATTATCAAGATTACAAGCAATAATAAGTGTTGGCAAGGATGTGGGGCATTGCTGGAGGGATTGCAAATTGGTTCAACCACTCGGGGAACCAGTATGGAGATTCCTCAGCAATCTTGGAATGGAACCACCATTTGACCCAGCTATCTCACTCCTCAGTTTATCCTCAAAGGAATTAAAATTGGCATACTACAGTGACACAGTCACATCAATGTATAGCAGCTCAATTCACAATAGCTAGACTATGGAGCCAACTTAGATACCCTTAAACAGATGACTGGATAAATAAAATGTGGTACATACACATAATGGAATATGACGCAGACTTAAATAAGAAATAAATTAGGCCTTTCTCTAAACTTAAGTGCAGAAAGACAAACCCTGAGGGTCCTACCCATATGCAGTATATAAAATAGGTTAACTCAGGAAAAAATGAAGTGGTGAATCGCAGAGGCTGGGGTAGAAGGAAGTAGGGGCTTGCATTTCAATTTGTATGTCATTTCAATTATGGAAGATGAACAACTTCTTGGATCTGTGGTATAGAGTGGGATATGGTGACAATGTATTTTGCATTTAAAAATCTATTAAGCATCTATTTCACCTTAGGGTTTCTTAGCACAGGCAAATAAAGAGAGACAACATGGAATCAATAAAGGTCCAGGTTTTATGTAAATGGATGGAACTAGAGAATATCATGCTAAGTGAAATATGCCAATCCTCAAAACCCAAAGGCTGAATGTTTTCTCTGATAAGCAGATACTGATCCATAGCGGTGTGTTGGGGGGGCAGGTAGGGAAGAATGAAGGAACTTTGGATTGTGCAATAAGCTGTCCTAAAATAGGTTGAGAGCTGTCCTAAATCTTAATATCTCAAATAATTAACAAATAATAAAACACAAACACTCAGAAATATATTTACAAAAAAGAAGCCCCTGATAGATCTAGTCCACATGGGTTCTTGAACTAGACAAAGACAAAATGGCTCCCATGGTTTATTTAAGGGGGTACATCAAAGGCAGGGGTAAGGTTTAAGAGTGGAGCCTTGCTTTATGATATCTTGCAGTCTACAGGTTGATTGACATCTTGGCAGGTTACACCCATCTCAGGTGCTATGTGGGATCTGAGGCAGAGCTTGAGGGGAAGTTCACCTGCACCAAGCAGTCAATCCTTGTGGGGAGTGTCCCAGGGAGTCCCCGGTGCCAGACTTATCCCCTCAGGAGACTACTTATGCACAACATAGTCCACACACAGCCCACAGATGGCTCGTGACATTAATCCACCATGAAGTTTGGATGTTGGCAGTGCCCATCTGGATATGAGACAGGGGAGGGACATTTTCCTAAATATTCCAGTTCCTTAGGCAAGACCAAGCATTTTGTCCTGATTGGATGAGATGTCAGTAAACAATGGCATATCATTCTATCATCACCATCATTGCAGTATTGGATTATTGTGTCTGGCTATTCTAGAAAGTACCGAGTAAATGAAGGGTTTGTCAAGGATGGAGAGAAATTGGAACACTGCTTCCCTGGAGGGAATGTCAAGGGTTACATGAGCCATGGAAATCAGTAATGGAGTTTCTCCACAAAATCAGACATGGAAATACCCTATGATCCAGTACTGTGGGGTGTTTAGAGGAAATAATGGGATCAGAAACACGAAGAGCTATCAGCATTTTGGTGTTCAAGGCAGGACTATGAACAACAGTCCAGCTGTGGAAGCAAAATAAATATCCATTGATAAAGGAATGGATCTAGTGAATGTGGTGACAATCTACAATGGAATACTGTCCAAGATTAAAAGGGAAGGAAATACTCCCCTGTGTGCTTACATGGGAGAAATTTAGGCTTCTCTCTAACCCTAAGTGCAGAAAGACAAACACTGTGGGTTCTACCCATATGCAGTAGATAAAATAGGTCAACTCAGGTAGGAAAGAATAAAGTGGTGGATTCCAGAGGCTGGGGTAGAAGGAAGTAGGGACTTGCATTTAAGTTTGTATGTCATTTCAATTATGGAAGATGAACCACTTCTAGGATCTGTGGTATAGAGTGGGATATGGTAACAATGTATTTTGCATTTAAAAATCTATTAAGCATCTATTTCACTTCAGAGTTTCTTAGCACAGGCAAATAAAGAGAAACAACATGGAATGAATAAAGGTCCAGTTTTTATTAAGAATTTACAGAATTTGGCTGTACCTAGGGAGGCAACTGAAGGTGACTATGACAGGAGAAACCAGTATATAGAAGAATGAAAGACAATGCAAAAGAAATCATGACTCCAAAGATAAAGAAGCATTTGCATACACCTGTGAAACTCTGAAGCCCGTTCCTGTGTGCTTTAGATGGAGTGGTAAAGATATTGGCTTCATAATTTCAGCCAAGATCACACCTCGCCAACAAGGACCTATGCAGCAGGCATAAGGTGCACAAGGACGAAGGAAGAAGAAGACAGGTGTGGAGTGGTCTGCACTCCCTGGAGGTGATTCACAAATTTTTACGTGGGTGACATCTTGATGATCTTCAGCCCAGGTAGGAAGAGAATTGGTGTAGATAAGGCAAATAGGTTGAGAGGAGTTTGTGCAGATAGATGCTGGTCTTTAGGGAGTTGATCACGAGCAGCAAGGTTTGCAGCAGCTGCACACACAGAAGCAGGGCTGGCAGCAGGGTGTGCTGCAGCAGCGGGTCACATGGGTTTTTTTATAGCAGGTGGTTTGAGAGCAGGTGGTTTGAGAGCAAGTAGGAGGGCAGCAGGGCTGGCAGCAGCCTGGCTGGCAGCAGGTGAACACACAGCAGCAGGGCTGGCAGCAGGGAATGATGCAGCAGCAAGGCTCACAGCAGCTGGGCTCACAGCAGGGTGTGCTGCAGCAGCTGACCACACAGGCTGGCTTACAGCAGGTGGTTTCACAGCAAGTTGGGGGACAGCTTGGCTGGCAGCAGCTGGACCCACTGCTGGTTTTCCCACAAGAGCTGGACCCACAGCTTCTAGGTGGACGGCAGGATGTGCTGCCACAGCTGGTCCCACAGGCTGGTTTCCAGCCGATGGTCTTGCAGCAGGTAGGCTTGCAGCAAGAGGAGCAGCAGGAGCGGGCCATGGTGTGAGCTGTGGAGGGTGGGATCCTGTTCACAGGTGAGTGAATTCGTGCAATATGAGGACTCCTTGCAGTTGGGCTCTTTTATCCTTGGGGCTTCCAACGTTTGCACCAATCAGCAGTCCTTTGCCATCTTGTGGTTCATGTTATTTTCCATATTCAGTTTGTGTTTGCCTAGGAAGAATTTGTTATGCAAATGTGATGAGTGTGGTGAATGTAAGTGTTTAATCTGTTTCTTAAGAGGGCATAACTCACAGGAACTATTTCCAGATGAAAGAAAGACAGTCACCTCATTAGTATCCTTGCTGCTCTGATCATCATTCTGATCATGTGGTGGCTACTGATGCCCTGGGAGGGTCAGGGCAGTTGGTCCTCTGGAGCTTTGTTCCTGTGTCTGTATTCAGATTAGGAAACATCTGTCGGAGGAGCATGATGCTGTTGTGTTCACAGGGAAGAAAAGCCCATGTTTACCCAGAGGATCCTGAGTCAGGAGTAGTAAACACATCTGTCTGTGTACCAAGGCTTCTACCTGGGTGTTTCAGGTTTACTCAAGGCACATTGTAAGAGGATGTTTGCCATGTGGTCTTCCACAGCACAGCAAAACCAGAGAGTGAGGGTAGAAGCAGAAGCAGTACTTGGGAACGAGCCAGATATGGATGGATCTCTGGGTGGCCATATGTCCTGTTTTATCAAGTCCTGAGGGCTCATCATGATGAGCCTGTGGGACTTTCTGCCACAGGAGTCTTGCAGACTCAGGCAAACCAAGATGAGCAGATGACTCTAGTCCTAACCTGGGTAACCAGCACAGACAATGATCTTGGTCAGGGATCTTTCTCTGTCTTTCTTTCTTCCCTTCTGTCTCCATTTTGTTTTCTGTCTCCCCTCTTTTCTTTCTGTCCATTTCTTTCTTATCTTCTTTCCCCATTATCCTTGATCCTCCTCATCCTTTCTATAGGTTCTCTTCATGAGAGTAATGAAATTTGCATGAGTTTGAATACACCCTCTATAGTTATCCAGATGCACATCGTTCTAGTGACCTGCTTCTAATGACATTAACAATCCTTATCGCCAACTAACCGGGCTGGCGACCTATGCTGGGTTCACAAAATCTGGCTACCACAATAACTAAGAAAACAGTTAAAGAAGCACGCAACACACAAAAATACCTTTTGCTTGCAGGGATCAGGGATGGCTCTCCACCTTAAGGGTACGTTGGAAAGAGAGAGTGAGCCACCGGAAAATCCTCTATTTATTGGGGGAAAAAGACATTCCAGAAAGTTCAACCCAAATGAGGCAAGGGATTGGGTTTCAGGGGGGTGTAGCCCAGTCTCATTGGGTGATGCCCACTCCAAGAGCATCATTCCTCTGCCTAGCAGAGGTGGGATATACCTGCTCTCTGCTGTGAGCCAAAGCCAGTCCCACACACCTCTGTTGCTCAAGGCGAAGGGTCCGTGTTCATTCCTGTGTGGCAGCTCCCAATAAATCCCTTAAATGACTTGTCTGACATCATGGGCTTAACTGCTGGTGAACAGTAACTTTCTATTCGGAAAGCTTGTGTTTCAGGGATTGGCACCCTGCCTGGTGGGTAAGTTGGAACTGTATCAGCAGCAGTGTGGAGAATCTTTCATCCCTCATTTATTAAGGTGTTGGGTATTGAAAATTTGATGATATTCACAGAATGCTTTTTCTTTATCAGGTGAAGCAATATTATGATTATTCTCTCTTTTCCAGTTATGTGACATTACATTTTTGGAAATGCAAGGGTGCTACACCCACTCTTGCATTTTCAAAAATGGTCCAAAGTTGTCATGGCCAGACCCACGTGGGACTGGTCTTGACTCAATTCTACCCTTATCAAAATACATTCTGCTTTGCATTTTAAACCTTTATCCTTCTGTTCTCAGTGTATTTCCTTCACCTTCTCTAATCAAGTCAGCTCCAAAAAAGCTGAGATTTTCCATCCTCTTGTGACCCAGTTTCTCTTGACATGGCTCCATGTCCTGGACTTTCAAAAGCACTCTCCTGCCCTCAACATACACCAGCAGTGCTCTTACGGTGTTGCAGTATTCTTTTTTAGTTAGTACACTGGGAAACTCCAAGGGTTCCTTTCTGAAACATACAACATGGGTAAGAATTCTAAGGAGACCCTTGTACAATAGTTGTTGAGTTTCATTATGTAACTGGAAACATGTGAACAATGTCCAGTCCAATATATTAAAAATTGATATTACTCATTTCTACACCAATATTATATTTTTTCTGATGAATTCAAATGAAACAGAGCCTTTGGTCTTCAACTCAAATGATAAGAACAGAAACTTATTTGCAGGATATGCAAGCATCAATGCAACCTACTGAAAATCTGGGGGAAAGTGTCATTGGGAAATAGTCAAGAAGCTGGTGGCATCAGATTAACACCTGATAAAATAACACATGAAACATGAGAACCCTTTTGACTCTTTGAACACAGTTGTGAATTTAGAAGCTCAAAGGTATTGAAGTAGAAAGACCAACATGTCAATAAATATAATTAGACTTTTATGAGCTCCAATTATATCCTAATGGGCTCTAAATGTTATGTCAGGGAGGAACCCAATGAAAGTTTGCACAAACTGATTGAAGACATCCCACATGGAGTTGATCACTCAGCTTCCACATTCCAGATGGGATGTGGAATTTTCAAGGTGACATTAATAGAAGTAGAGTTCATTTATTGCAAAGGCACCTCAAAGAGAAAAATTGGCGACAAGACTAGCAGCATTTCTTCTAGCCTGGCTGAGGATTTAATGAAAACAAATTTGTATTTTTTTAAAGGTAGTGTTGTGGTGTGCCATGAAAGTTCAGAAGCCTGGGCAGGGGAGAACTGGAAATGTTGACCCTGTCCAGCTGAACATGGAACTGGGGAGAGACATTGTTCTTTGATCTTCCAGTTCTTTAGCCAAGACCAAGTATTCTGCCTGTTTGCATGAGATGCTGGTCAGCAATGTCATTATTCTCCCATTGCAATCATTGCACAGATGGAATAGTGTATCTGGCTATTATAGAACATTCCCAATACAGTAAGTGTATTAACAAGTATTGGAGAAATTGGAATCCTGCTATCCTGGAGGGAATGTCTAATGTTGTTGGACATTTTAGGAAACTCCTAAAATTAAACATAGAAATATTACTCTATTCAGCAACCCCATCTCCAGTGTTTAGGTAAAAGAATTAAATCAGATTCTTGAAGAACTATCAGCATTTCTTACATTTATGGCAGTACTACGAACAACAGCCATGCTGTGGAAGAAATCCAATGTCTGTTGGATGAATGCCTCATGGGAATTTGCCAGAAAACCTACAATGGAATAGTATTCAGAAAAGGAAATTCTGTCTCCTGTACCTACATCATTGAACCATAATCCTTTCTCCTAAATTAACTAAATAAGTCACAAAAGGAACAACACTAAATGATTTCATGTATATGAGGCATTTCAAACAGTGGAACTCAGGCAAAGAAAGAACAGAGAGATGGTTTCCAAAGACTGGAGGTAGGTGGAAGTAAGGAGTTGAAAATCAATAGGTATGCCTCTTAATGTTTTTAGTTTTTTGGTATTGATATTGATCTAGGGGTGTTTTATCACTGAGCCACATCTTCAGTCATTTTTATTTTTTTATTTGGAGATAGCGTCTTAACTAAGTTGTTTAAGGTCTTGCTAACTTGTTGAGGCTGGCCTTGAACTTGCAATCCACCTGCCTTAGTCTCCAAGTCACTGGAATTACTGATGTTACCACCACACCTGGCTTTTGGTATGCCATTTCAATTATTTAAGATGAAGAACTTCTAAGAGTTTGTATTTCAGAGGAGGATACCATGACAATGTATTTGCACTTAAAAACCTGTTAAGCATGTGATCTTCAAGTCAGGGGTTCTTAGCACAGGAAAATACAGACAGACAATATGGAATGAATTAAAGTCCAGAATTTATTAAGCATTTATGAAGGATGGCTGAACATAGGGAGGGAAATGAAGGTGACAGTGACAGGGAAAAATGGCAGATAAGAATCTGGAGGACAATGCAAAAGTAATCATGACTGTAAAGATGAAGGAGCATTTGCATATAGCTATGAAATTCTTCTGAAGAAGTGTGGTCCTACATTCATTAGACAGAAGGTAAAGATCTTAGTCTGAGAATTTCAGGCAAGACCATCCCTCCCCATCTAGAATCTCTGAAGATGGCACAAGATGCATGAAACCTAAGGAAGAAGAGGATGAGGGTGGAGTAGTCTGCACTCCTTGTAGGTGATTCACAGGGTCTTATATGGGGGATGATGCATAGAGTATCTAGTGGCAGCATGATGGTCTTCACAAAGGTAGGAAGAGAATTGTGCAATAAGTGAAGGCACATGTTAGGATTTTGTGCAGACGTCAGTTCTTTGAGGAGTGATCACGAGCAGCAAAGCTAGCAGCAATTGGACACACAGCAACAGGGCTTGCAGCAGGGTGTGCTGCAGCAGTGGGTCACACAGGTTTGCTTGGAGCAGGTCCTACAGCATGTGGTTTTAGAGCAAGCTGGAGGGCAGCAGGGCTGGCAGCAGGGGATGATGCAGCAACTGAGGCAGCAGCTGGGATCACAGCAGGGTGTGCTGCAGCAACTGATGACACAGGCTGGTTTCCAGCAGGTGGTCTTGCAGCAGGTGATTTCACAGCAAGTTGGAGAGCAGCAGGGTTGGCAGCAGGGTGTGCTGCAGCAGGGGGTCACATGGGACTTTTTGGAGCAGGTGGTCCTGCAGCAGGTGGTTTGAGAGCAAGTAGGAGGGCAGTAGGGCTGGCAGCAGGGCAAGATGCAGCAATTGGGGCAGCAGCAAGGCTCACAGCAGCTGGGCTTACAGCAGGGTGTGCTGCAGCAGCTGACCACACAGGTTGGTTTGCAGCAGCTGGTCTTGCAGCAAGTGGTTTCACAGCAAGTTGAGGGACAGCATGGCCAGCAGCAGCTGGACCCACAGGTGGTTTTGCCCCTGCAGCTGGACCCACAGCAGCTGGGTGGACAGCAGGATGGTTTCCAGCAGGTGGTCTTGTAACAGGTGGTCCTGCAGCAGGTAGGCTTGCAGCAAGGGGAGCAGCAGGAGCGAGCCATGGTGTGAGCTGTGGAGGGTGGGATCCTGTTCACAGGTGAGTGAGTTTGCACAATATGATGAGTCCTTCTAATTGGGCTCTTTTATCCATGTGGCCTCCAAAGTTTGGACCAATCAGTAGCCCTTTTCCTCATTTTTGTTTATATTATTTTCTACATTGGTTTGTATTTGTTAAGGAAGAAGTTGTTTTCAAAATATGATGTGTTTTGAATTTAAGTGTTTAATCTGTTTCTTTTTTGAATGCTTTCATTAGTGCATGATAGTTATTTATAATTGTGGGGTTCAGTTCGACATATTCATACACGCATGTAATGTAATTTGCTCCATTTCAATCCCCACCACTTCCACTTTTCATCCCTTACTCTTTTTCTCTACTTGTTTTCCTTCTATTTAATTACTGTTTTTTTTTTTTTTTTTTGTGAGTTTTTTTTTTTTATATTAAATTTCTTTTTTTTTTTTTTTTTTGATGAGTGTTCTATTTACATACATAAAGTAGAATTTTCTCTTGGTATTTTAATTCATGTGCATATTTTGGTCAACTTCATTCCCCAGTCCTTCCCCTTTTCCACTTCACCTCCATCTTCCCCAATGCCCTTCCTCTACTCCACTGATCTTCTTTTCTATTTCCGTAGGATCCCCCCTTTGATAAAATTCCTTATTTCTCTCTCACTTTCACATGTGAGATAAAACATTCAACCTTTGACTTTCTGGATGCAAATGTTTTTTTTCCCATTTGCATCCATTTACCAGCAAATGGCATAATTTTTCTTTATTACACTGCACAATATTCCATGGTACATACATTTATTTGGTAATTCCATGGTACATACATTTATGACATTTTCTGTATCTGTTTGATTGTTGATGGGCATCTGGGATGGTTGTATAGCTTGGCAATTGTGAGTTTCACTGCTCTACATATTGATAGGCATGTATCAGTATAGTATGTTGATGTTAGTTCTTCTGGATAAATACCAAGGAGTGGGATAGCAGGAATAGTGGCTAGAGTGTGAAGAATTGTATTAAACAGGAGTGGTGAGAGTGGATATCCTTGCCTTGTTCCCGAGTTTAGAGGAAATGCTTTCAGGCTGTTCTCCATTCTTTATGATGTTAGAATTGGTTTAATCTATATAACCTGTGTGATAACAAAGAAAGTTTCTTCTATCGTTAGTTTCTTCAGCATTTTTAATATTCATGGGTGCTGGATATAGCAAGGATTTTTCTGCATCTATTGAGATGATTATGTCATTTTTGTCCTTAATTCTATTTATGTGATGTGTTACATTTATTGATTTTTATATGTTCAACCAAACTTGCAACCCTGAGATGAAACCCTGGTGATAATGGTAAGCAATTTTCTTAATTGCTTACTTCTTGTCCTAAATGTGGTCTATTTTAGAGATGGTGCCATGTGTGGTTGAAGGCAGATTGCTAATATTTTATTAATAAATTTTACACCTATGTTTATCTATGATATTGGTCTGTAGTTTTCTTTTCTTGATTTTTTTTTTCCTGGTTTGAGTATTGGGGTGATTCTGGCTTCATAGAACGAATTTGGGAATGTTATCTCCCTTTCTATTTCATGGAAAAATTTGAGAAAGTTATTTTTTTTCTGTAGGATTGGTAGAACTCAGTTGAGAATCCATCTGGTACTGGGCTTTTCTTTGTTGGAAGACTTTTAATTGCTGCTTGCATCTCAGTACTCGGTATTGACCTGTTTAGGTTTTCTGTGTCCTGTTGCTTCAGTCTGGGTAGATCATATCTATATAGAAACAAGTCAGTAACTTCTAGATTTTCCAGTTTATTGGAGTATAATTTTTCAAAACAGTTTCTAATGATAACCTGGATTTCAGAAATGTCTGTGGTGATATTTCCTTTCTCATTTCTATTTTGTTGATTTGGGTCTTCTCTCTTTTTGGTTAGCTTGGTTAATTAAGGGTTTATCAATTTTCCCTACCTTTTCAAAGAGACATTTTCTAGTTGCATTGATTTTTATATTGATTATTTTAATTCCCAATTTCATTTCTAATCTTAATTATATCCTGACTTTTACTGGTTTTGGATTAGCATTGTTTTTCTTCTTCTAGGGACTTGAGGTATAGTATTAGTTTTTTTTATTTGGGATCTTTCTGTCCCCCCCGCCCACCCCGGCTCAATGTAGGCCCTCAATGCTATAAACCTTCCTCTAAGAACTGCCCTAATATTATTCTGATGATTTTGAAATGTGTATCACTGTTCTCATTTGTTTTTAGTCATTGTTTGCTTTCTAACCTGATTTCTTCTATGATCTATGCTTGATTGGAAGCACATTTTCCAGTCTTCATGTGTTAAAATAGTTTCTATTTTTTGTCTTGATATTGATTCCTAATTATATTCAGGTATGATCTGATAGGATGGAAGGAATAATCTCTATTTCTTTTATTCACTAAGACTTACTTCTTGTCCCAAAATGTGGTCTATTTTAGAGATGGTGCCATGTGTGGTTGAGAAGAAAGTGAATGTGGTTGCTAACGGATGAAATAGTTTATAGATGTCTGTTAGCTCCCTTGGATTAATAGTTTTTTTAAATTTTATTTTCTGAAGAATCTTTACTTAGTTTATGTCTGTATGTTCTATTGGTGAGAGAAGGGTTTGAAACCACCCAGTATTCTTGTATTATGGTCTCAAAGAATCTATACATTGAGTAGCGTTTAATTTATGTACATAGGTGCATTGATATTTGGGGAATAAATATTTACACCCATTATATCTTGTTGTTGGAGAATTCTTTTACCCAGTACAAATTGTGCTTCTTTGTTTCTTCAGGTTAATTTTGGCTTGAGGTCTACTTTGTCAGATTTGAGACAGTAGCTACTTCCTCTTCCTTTTGGACTTACATCTTTTTCTATCCTTTCAGCATCAGCTTGTGGATATCTTTAAGGTGAGTCTCTAGTAAACAACATATGGATGGCTTTTCTTTTTTAATCTACTGTTCCAATCTATGTGCTTTTAATGAAGACTTTTTATGTCTATGTCTTTTTAATGAGACCATTCAGTGGTGTTATAGAGAGATGATTTTTATTTCCTGACATGTTGATTTATTACTAATGTTTACTTTAGTCTTGATTCTCCTTTACTAGTATTATTCTAGTGAGAATCATCCATTTGTTGGCTCTGATATTTCTTTTTCATTGCTTCTATATATAATCTGTCATTATTATGTTCTGTAGTAGCTTAGTGGTAATGGATTCTTTTAGTTTCTGTTTATCGTGGAAGGGTTTCTTTCTCTTTTTTTTTTCTATCTTCAATGCTGAATGATATGGTTTGCTGGATATAACTATCTTGGTTGCCACTCATTATCTTTCAGAACTTGGTAAATATTCCAAGCCCTCTTGGATTTTGCACTCTGGGCTGCCAAATGAGTGGAAAGTCTAATTGGCTTATCTTAAAATGTGAACTGCGGTTCTGCTGCTCTATCCTTGGTCTGTATATTAGACATTTTAATTATAGTGTGTCTTGGTGAGTATCTTTTTTGTTGTGTTATTTTTTATTTTAATGTGTTATATATGACAGTAGAATGCATTACAATTCATATCACATGTATAGAGCACAATTTTTCATATCTCTGGTTGTACACAAAGTAGAGTCACACCATTTGTGTGTTCATACATGTGCTTAGGGTAATGATGTCCATCTCATTCCACCATCCTTCTTACCCCCATTCCCTCCTCCCTTCCCCTCCCTCTCCTTTGCCCTATCTAGAGTTCATTTAAACCTCCCATGACTCACACCCCAACCACATTATGAATTAGCCTCCTTAAATCAGAGAAAACATTTGGCTTTTGGGTTTTTTTTTTTTTTGATTGGCTAACTTCACTTAGCATTATATTCTCCAACTGCATCCATTTACCTGCAAATGCTGAATAATATTCGTTGTGTATATATACCACATTTTTTAAATCCATTCATCTACTGAAGGACATCTAGGTTGATTCCATAGTTTAGCTGTTGTAAATTATGCTGCTATAAACATTGATGTGGCTGTGTCCTTGTAGTATGCTGTTTTTAAGTCCTTTGGGTATAGATGGAGGAGTGGGATAGCTGGGTCAAATGGTGGTTCCACTCCCAGTATTTCAAGGATTCTCCATAGTGCTTTCCATATTGGCTGCACCAATTTGCAGTCCCACCAACAATGTATGAGTGTGCCCTTTCCCCCACATCCTTGCCAACAATTATTGTTGTTTGTAGACTGGAGTGAGATGAAATCTTAGAGTGGTGATTTGCATTTCTCTGATTGCTAGAGATGTTGAACATTTTTTTTTTTTGTATATTTGTTGATTGATTGTATATCCTCTTCTGAGAAGTGTCTGTTCATTTCCTTGGCCCAGTGTGAAATTTCCTGAAAAAAATCAGACATAGAAATACCACACAATCCATCAATCCCACCTCTGGGTGGATAGGGGAAAGAATGGCATCAGAAACTTGAAGAGATATCAGCACTATCATGTTCAAGACAGCACTAGGAACAACAGCCAGGCTGTGGAAGCAAAACAAATATCCATGGATAGAGGAATGGATCTGGAGAATATGGCAGAAAACTGGAATACTATTTAGGTTTAAAAGAGAAGGAAATTCCCCTCTTTTGTACTAACTTGGATGACCCTTAGCCTTCTTTCTTCCATGAACTAAGCCAAGTTCAGAAGGATGAACACTGCAGGATTCTACCCATGTGAGGTATGTAAAATAGATCAACTATGATAAAAGAATAGATTCATGGATTCCAGAGGCTGGGGTGGGTGGAAGTAGGGAACTGCCAATCAATAGATATGCCAATTCAATTATGCAAGATGAGCATCTTCTAGAGATCTGTGGTACAAAATGTAAGTCAATAATAGCATATTTTGCATTTAAAAATTCATTACGCATGTGATTCTCGCATCAGGGGTTCTTAACACAGTAAAATAAACACAGAGAATATGAAGTGAATTAAGATTCAGCATTTATTAAGAATTTATGATGGACAGTTGTACCGAGGGAGGGAAATGAAGTTGATGATGACAGGAAAAAGTAGCATATAGGAATATGGAGAAAAAATGCAAAAGAAATCAAGACTATGAAGATGAAGGGACAGTTGTGTGCAGCTAGGAAATTTTTCTGAATAAATGTGTTCCTAAGTTCTTTAGATGGATAGGTTAAGAACTTTGTCTCAAAATTTCAGCCAAGAGCACACCTTCCCATAAGGAACTGTGAAACTGATCCAAGGTGCACAAGGTAAGGAAGAAGAGGATGAGAACAAAGTGTTCTGCACTCCCTTGAGGTGAGTCACAGGTCTTATATGGGGAAGGATGGACAGAATTTCTTGTGACAGTATGCTGGTTTTCAGGCAAGATAGGAAGAGAATTTGTACAGGTAAGGCAAGCAGATTGGAAGGAGTTTGTGCAGGCATTGGTTTTGGGTAGCTGATCATGAGCAGTAGGGCTGGCAGCAGCAGGGCTGGCAGCAGGGAATGATGCAGCAACTGGGGCAGCAGCAAGGCTCACAGCAGCTGGGCCCATAGGCTGGTTTGCAGCAGGTGGTCTTGCAGCAGGTGGTTTCACAGCAAGTTGGGGGACAATAGGGCTGGCAACAGCAGGGTTGGCAGCAGGGAGTGAGGCAGCAATTGGGGCAGCAGCAAGGCTTACAGCAGCTGGGCTCACAGCAGGGTGTGCTGCAGCAGCTGACCACACAGGTTGGATTGCAGCGGGTGGTTTCACAGCAAGTTGGGCGGCAGCAGGGCTGGCAGCAGCTGGACCCACAGCAGCTGGGTGGACAGCAGGGTGTGCTGCAGCAGCTGGTGACACAGGCTGGTTTCCAGCAGGTGGTCTTGCAGCAGGTGGTCCTGCAGCAGGTAGGCTGGCAGCAAGAGGAGCAGCTGGAGTGGGCCATGGTGTGAGGTGTGGAGGGTGGGATCCTGTTCACAGGTGAGTGGGTTTGCACAATATGATGACTCCTTGCAATTGGGCTCTTTTATCCTAGGGGCCTCCAAAGTTTGAGCCAGTCAGCAGCCCTTCACCTTGTTGTTGTTTATGTTATTTTCCATATTCAGTTTATGTTTGTTAAGGAAGTTATACTGTAAATGGGAGGAGTGTTGTGAAAGCGTTTAATCTGTTTCTTAAGAGGGCCTAACTCACAGGCACTGTTTCCAGATGAAAGAAAGACAGTCACCTCATTAGCATCCTTGGTGCTCTGAGCATATTTGGATCATGCGGTGGCTCCTGCTGCCCTAGGAAGGCCAAGGAAATTTTTCCTCTGGAGATTTTTTTCTTTGCCTGTATTCAGATTAGGAAGTGCCTCTGGGAGGAGCATGATGTTGTGTATTCACCGTGATCAACCAATAACCTGGCACCAGGTCTGTTTCCCCACATACTACTCAAGATTAGTAGAGAAATCTTTCTCCGTATGAACTCTCCCACCTGTGTGTCCTAGGTGTTTCCAAGGCACTTGGGATGAGGATTTTTGGCATGTGGTTTTGTACAGCAGAACAGAACCAGAACCTAAGGATAGAAGTTGAAACATTACCTAGGGATGAACCAAGTATGGATGGATGTCAGGGTGACCATCAGTCATGTTTGATCCAGAGCTGGAGGCTCACCAGGAAGAACCTGTGGGACTTTCTGACACACAATCCCTGCAGATCCAGGAAAACCAGAATGAGCAGGTGAGTCTATTTCTCTTCTGGGTACCAGCAGAGCCTGTGATCTTAGGCCAGGGGTCTTCCTCGGTCTTTCCTTCTTTCCTCTTGTCTCTCTGTTTCTTTCTCTCTGCTCCTTTATCTTTCTGTCTATTGCTTTCTTGCTTTATTTCTATGTCATGAAAGAATTACGATTAGCTGAGATGATCCTTAACTTATTTATAGGGACTGTTGGATTTAAATCTCATTTATTTTAATTTATGTTCCATCTATTAACAGTTTAGTACTTCAGTGGAGAGGTTAATTTGCTTTAACAAAATCCTCATTGTTATTTACTGTCTCAGTACAATGTTTTGTACTTTCCCATTCTCTAAAATATAAGAACAAGACCCACAGATATAAATAATATGATTGAAGTCTAAGTTCAATATGTATTTAGACATTTAAATTACTTAACACAATATGTAGTGAAAATCCAGGTTATTGTAATTTGTTATCTAATGGATGTGAAGAGCTGTGGAAAGATTTTCTGGGTCATACAAATAAATAAGCAGAATTTTATCTATTTCTCCTTAAATGTTTAACGAATATGTAACAAAATAAGCTTGTCATTCATTTTTTAAGTCAATTCAATACAAATAGATATATTTAGGATAATGTGGGTGGTGGTTTTAAAAATGTTCACAAAATCTTTGGTACCTTTTCATTCAAGAGGTAGAGCCTAATTCCTCCTGTCCTTGAGTGCAGATTAAACTTAGTGGCTCACTTCCTACAAATAGTATATGGCAGAAATGACTGTGTACAACTTTTGAGATTAGATCGTAAAAGATAACCTGGCTTTATTGTGTGTCCACCCCCTCCCTGTCTCTCACACACACTTTGAGAAAATGGATGCTTTGTCATGTGGCTACTTGAGCATCCTACACAGAGGTCCATGTGGTGAGGAGCACCCAACATCCAGCAAGGAGCAGAGGCCTCCTGCCAAGAGCCATGTAGGAAGCAAATCTTCAGATCCCAGGCAAATCTCCAGATAACTAAAATCACTGTTGAAGTTTTCACTATAACTGATGATAACAGGAAAGACTCTGAATCAGAATCTTCTAGTTAAGCCTCTTCTGCTTTTTTGATCCAAAGAACCTGTGAGAAAATAAATAACCTGTTGTTTTTCACTGCTGTGTTTGGGGATAATTTGTTATGTAGTAATAGATAACTCAGAAATGTGAATCTACTTGGCCATCATCATAACATTTTTGTGCATACATTGTTGCTCATTCACAGTATGCCATACTCATAATTTATAGTCACATATTTTTAAATCAAAATTGATTTATGTGTGTATCTATAGGCATAATACAATTTTAATATCTTAAAATATTTTTCTCATGTGAATATCATCCCAAGCCTCAGCCACAAAACTGCTTCTCAGTGTTCTGATGTACAGATTCCTGATAACAGCAGCAGAAGCTACTTTGAATCCACCTTAATCTTATTCCTTTTTTTTTCAGTAGTGATGTTAAATCACATTTAAGTCTACCATTGTTTCCAAAAGAATACAAGTTATTACTTTTCAACGTGGTGAAATATTCTAAAGTGAACATATCCCTGCCACTACTCTCAGGTTTGAACATAGAAAGGAACCCAATTTCTTAGAAATCATACGTTGTCATTCATCCCCAAATGGGGTGGATCCCTTTGTTGGCCTGTAGCCTTCTAGGGCAATTTTGTCTTTGTTTCCCCTCTTAGGTTACTTAGGATAATAGAATTCCCAGGTTTCCTTATACTATGAGTGTGAGCTTCTTCACTATAGTTACCTAGAGTGTGTTCACCCTCACTGTAAAATTTCCACTGACACAATTAATCTGTAGATTGTCCTCTAGATGAACATGTGGCTTGTTTGTTGATTGGGACGATTTGCATTCATGCTGCTATAGATGTTTTAGCACAGAGCCTGTGGTCGTGTTTATAAACACTTCTGGTGAATATACAACTGGATATAGGCCTGATTATAGAACTCTGAGGTGGAAAGAGTTGTTCTTTTTTTTTGACAGTCTTGTCCATGGTTCTCCAGATAACTCAGAAATGTGAAATCTACTTGTATGTATTTTATTGTGTACACAGCTATGAGATAATTTAAAAGTTAATTTTTTACTGGTTCACTGATATAAAAAATGATACATTTTTGTATGTTTACCTTGCATCCAAACTCCTTTCTCATATCTGATAGTGCGTGGTAGATCTTCTTGGAAGGGAGTGATTTTTCAAGCAGTCATATCATGAACAAATATACTTCTATTCATTTCAGCGTAGTCTTTTTTTTTTTTAAGAGAGAGTGAGAGAGAGAGAATTTTTTTAATATTTATTTTTTAGTTATTGGCGGACACAACATCTTTGTTTGTATGTGGTGCTGAGGATCGAACCCGGGCCGCACGCATGCCAGGAGAGCGCGCTACCGCTTGAGCCACATCCCCAGCCCTCAGCGTAGTCTTTTTACCTTGCATTTTTCTTGCCTTGGTCTATTGGTAAGCCCTCTAGTGCATTGTGCATCTGGTGGGTATTTTTGAATAATCTCAGCCTAGATCCTTGAAGGGAGAGCTTTGACATTTCCTTATTACCTATGATCCTCCTTTTTCTTTCTATAGATTCTTGTCATGAGTACAACGACATTTTCTCAAATCTGAATAATCCTTGTAGATTTAACCTGATCCATGTGGTTCTAGTGACCTTCTCCCAATAACATTAAAAAATCCCCACTAATAGAGGTTACGACGTGAGCAACATATTGTAAGATGCCCAGTAGCTTTGCCATAGATAACACCTCTCAAAGATGGGTCATGATGGAAAAAATTGTGAAAGTGGTTTTCCAGGCACTTGGAGGTGGCCTTTTCCTGCTCTATGTGATTGAATGACTCACTGACCCTTCCCTTGAGCTTGGGCAGTGGTCTGTTAGGTGATAAGTCTGACATCACAGGTGTGAGCACTCCACTCTGGAGACACACTTGAGACTTGCTCTCCCGTCTTGACTGGATGGTGAATAAAACCTTTTTCTTTTCTTTCTTTTCTTTTCTTTTTTTTGGACCTTTTCCTTTGACAGATGGTCTTTTCAGGAATTGTTACCCTGCATGATGGGTGAATGAGGACTGTTTCAGCAGTAGTCTGGAGGCTCTTGTAATCCTCGTTTCTTAAGGTGATGGAGGTTGAAAATGTGTTGGTGTTTATCCTACCTTTTTTAGTCAACGTGATGAAAACTGAGGCATGTTACAATGTTGGAATAACCTTGCATTTCCGAAAATAATACAATGTGCTCATGATCGGATGCATGTGACTCTGGCCTTGACTCACATCTATCCTAAACAGGATCTATTCTGTTTTGTATTCTACAAATTTATTCTCCCATGATCACTGTATTTCCTCCACCTTCTCTCATCAAGTCAGTTCAGAAGAAGCCAAGATTCTTCACCTTCTTGTGACACAAATTGACCTTGCTATAGTTCCACATCCTGGACTTCTGAAGGCACAGTCCTGCACTTAGAATTTATTAGTAGTGGTCAGACAGTGCCGGGGTAAAAGAATGTGTTCTTTTGTCTTGGTGCAATGGGAAACCCCAAGGCTTCATTTCTGAAACACACACTGTGGGGAGGAATTCTAAGGAGTCCCTGGTAGACAATTTGCTGAGTTCATTACCATATTTATTTAAAATGGATACTGATAGTTTCTATACCAAGAGTGTATTCTTCTGGAACACATGAATGAAGCAGTGCTTTTAACCCTCAGCACAGATGATAAGAAGAAGAATTTACTTGCAAGATAAATGAACATCAGCTCAACCTACTGAGAAGCTGGGGGAAATGTGGAATTGGAAAATTAATCAAGAAGCTGGTTATACCAGGTTGTTACCCCAGCAAATGACACGTAAAAAAGGAGAATGGCTGTGACTTTTGGAACATAGACCGTTTACCAGATTATAACTCTGTGTTGTGAATTTAGAGGCTCAAAGGTCTTAAAGCAGAAACCCACTGTGTCAAAAATATAATTGGACCTGTAGGACATGTAATTTTTTAGTGGAATGCAAATATTATGTCAAGGAGGAACCAACATCTCATTTCGGGTATACACTCAGGTCTCACAGGACAGAGACAAGTGAGATACGATTATTCTTGGATTGTGGACCTTAAAAGTGACATTAGCAGGAGCAGAGTCTATTTATTGCAAAAGCACCTCAAAGACAAAGATTGGCTTCAGAATTACAGCCATTTCC